CCCTTACGTCGCTCACTTCTAGCAATGCTAATCAAACAATCTACATAATATATACATCAAACAAAATTAATATTTGTGATAAACATTAATCACATTTTAATCCTAGGGTTAAGCTATTAACCTATATCTTAAACACTTTTCCATAAAACTAACCTTCAAACTTGATCATTCTTATCATTATTGGACCTAAATATCACGTATTTAGCTCGTTAACCAAGTAATGAACACTAGTTAATCTCACCTAAAACAACTTTAAGTTTCAATTTAAGTATCTCATTAGCATAATCATCATTAAAACTACTTAACCAACACTTATCTAACTTCAAGCAAGTCTCATAATTTGAACACATCACAATGGCATCTCCAAAAATGAAAACCCAACCTAACCCAACATAAAATAGCTTAAAGAGAGGTTTAGAGGATAAAAATGATATCAAAGAAGTTACCTTGAATGATTAAGAGCCTAAAATCATGTTCAATGATTACTAGCCTTCAACCCTAATAAAGCTCTTGATTTTTCACCCAAAACCCTAAATTTTCTCTCTCATTCTATTAGATTTTTAAATACATCACTTATGATGTTTTATATCGCGCGTTGCGGGCATGACATGAAATAACAATTTCATTTAAGCTCACAATGTTAGATCCAATTAACCCAATGCCTAATTTGGACTCTATTTAACCTCATAAATGGTCCTAGGCCCACTTAAAGTCATAATTAAATACCTAACTATTTTAATTAACCTTCAATAACCTTCAATTAAAGTTGCATTATGTGACTCCATCATCTGTTTTCCATTTTTTCCTTTTCCCTTCTTTTTTTTCTTTCTAACCCTTCTATCAAGATTTTGATTGTTTAATTTTAATCTCTTATAAAATTATTATTAAAATTTTAAATTATAAAGAATATAAAATAATAAAATTTGAATAGCTAAAATTTAATATAAACAATTAAAAAATACAATAAAAACAAATAAAATGAAATATTTTATAAAAAATTAAATTTGGATTGTCTAAATCTTAATTTCTTGATTAGTAGCTAAGAAGAAGAGAAGGGAGAAGATGGGAAGAGAAGATGAGAGAATCTTCTCCATAAAAAAAGTTAAAGGAAAAATTGCATTCAATCCCCCAAAAAAAAATTATTATCAAGAGATCCCACAAATTTTATAAAATTCCAAAGTTTCAAATTAGCACAGGTGATTTGATCAAGGGTATTGACGACTGGACAAACACTATTTATATCTTGTAAAGAAAAATGATAATTTATAATAGTAAGTTAAGTCACTATTGTTCAATTATCAATACCTTTAGTCAAGTTATCAATGTGTAGAATTTAAAACTTAAGAGTGTTTTGTAAAATTTATGAGACCTTTTGATAATAAGTTTCTCTTTATAGGATTTGAATGTAATTTTTTTCAAAGTTAAAAGCTTATTGATTTTTTAAATAATTAATGAGTTTTTAAAACTTTCTTAATTTATAAAAATATAAGAAACGACTATCAATTATGTTTATAAAAATTTTTTTCCACTAGCTTAAAGACATTTCATTTGCACTTGCCTCACATACACTTGCCTCTCGCTACCGCGGCTCTCACTCACTCCATCCTCCATCTCGTTCTTCGCCGCCGGTCCTCTAGCCATCACCGTCGCATCTTAAGGTATTTCCTCGCTCTCTGTCTCGTTCTTTGCCTCAGCCTTAAGCCTTGAAGCTCAGGTGCCCAGTACTCCGTTGTTCTTGAGGGCAATCTTCTCAGGTCGTCCTTCGTTGGAACTAGGAACCTTCGGCCACCTCTCCTTCACCTTCAATCTCCATCAGGTTCGTCCACTACTCCTTCAACCACAACCCCTTCGCCTTTAATAGCTGTTGCCTGCTGTTTTGCATTTTGATGACTTGAATCTGGGACTCCTACTGATGAATAAGGTGTACATTTTTTTCCTTTAATCCTCCTTCAGTAGTTAAATTTCTTTTTTCCTTCCACACTTTCCAGGGCCGCAAATAAATTTTGATGATTCTGCATTGGCCCAAACAATTTGGAATCGTGTATTCGGAAAAGAGATTTCGTTTTGGTACAATTAGACGAATACTAATAGAAAGTCGCTTAACATTGAAGAATAGAGAGGTCGCAAAACATTTTTCGGTGTTCACTTTCCTTCTTCCAATTATAGTCACTTTGTATCAGCTCACACGCTAAATTAGGTATCCACATTCAAAAGGAACAGCCCATCTTATTTGATTTGATACTGAGACATGGATTGATTCGATTGTGCATTTATTTAAATTTTTGGTATGCTATGGTTGGTCCTGTATAAATGTTTTGGTCGTACCTGTAAAAGTTTGGGGAGAACTGACATTTCCTTGGCTGTCTTTTGTGGTTGTGAAATTGTCTGGGTATTGTTGACATGCTTCTTGCTGCATATGTGAACTTTGTGATAGTTGTATGTTAAATTTGGGCTGCGTCTTTTGGTATGAAGTGCAGTGTGTTCTTTTCTTATAAAACTGTCACACATCTTTCTCTTTTGCTTTGAGTCTCTCATTTTCCTGATTGCATCTAAAGCAGACAAAATAATTATTGTATGCTGAGAAAGAAAAATTAAGCTGCATGTTTCTGTAAATAATTATTTTTTTTTCTTTATGTAAATCACCTCATACCTGTAATCTCCTCCTTTTATATTGCTTCCCTACATCTGGAGCTTTATTTGTTTCTCTGCGTCTTCTTGAATCAGTGTATATAGCATAGATAGGGAAGACGAAGGAATCAATCCCACTTGTTGCTGAATGTTGTGCTTTGATGAATAAGAGTACTCTGGAGAGGGTTTCCAGGACAGAATCCAAACGGTACTTAAACCTGGTTGTATTATTTTTCATAGAAGAATGCAGAGTTCGCTGAAAATGCTGTCTAAGTGCAAATCCTGAAACTCATTCACCATTGTCTTCCTCAAAGGCTTACCAACAGTAATGGGTTGTGCTACTTCTTGTACGGCAACCCACTTTGTACAATGGTCGATTCTCAGCAAGCTCCTGAGTCACCAGAACTTCCAGTTTGGGTCCAAGTTACCTGACAACCAAACCCCTGAAAGCTCAGATTCTGATGATGACTTCGTTATCCCTGCACTTGCTGATTGGGTTGATGCCCATATGCTTAATGTCGAACCCAAGTAATGAGACTCTCTTTGAGGGGAGGACAAGGATGAAAATGATGTCACAGCAATCAGCACAGTTCTTAAAGAACCACATCCTTCTCCAGACAAAGTTGTTGAATCGCTAAAAAGGTATGAGTTTCTTGTGTCAGAGAATCTGGTTCAAAAGATTTTGAAAAGATTTTGCAATGACTGGGTACGAGCTTTAGGGTTTTCACATGGGCAAAAACACAACAGGCTATGTGCATTCTCCGAAATTGTACAACTTATGATCGATATTTTGGGCAAGGCAAAGAAATTGATCTTATGTGGGACTGTGTTCAGGAATGTATCAACTTGAAGGGTATTTGACATTAGATACAATGGTTTGTGTAATGAGGAGGCTTTCCAAGGCAGAAAAGTATGAAGAAGCTGTGGAAGCATTCCAAATATAGAGCGGTTTGGTGTGTGAACAAGGACATAGTGGCAATGAATGCACTTATGGATGCATTGGTGAAAGAAAATAGTGTTGAGCATGCTCACAAGTTCTTTTGGAGTTTAAGGACTCGATTTCTCCAGATTCTCTGTCATTCAATATCCTGATTCATGGATTTTGTAAAGCTAGGAAACTTGACCAAGCCTATAAAGTAATAGAGGACATGAGGAAACATGGGTTTCACCCAGATGTTATTACATACACTAGTGTCATTGAATCATATTGCAGAGAGAAGGATTTCCGCAAAGTGAGAGAAGTTTTTCAAAGATGGAGGAAAACGGTGTGTCTCCTAGTGTTATCACCTACACTATTTTCATGCAGCTTTAGGGAAGGCTGGGCAATTATCTGAAGTTCTGGGTCTTTATGAGACAATGAAGAGCAATGGTTGTGCACCAGACCCGCCATTTTATTCCTCACTGATATTCATTTTTGGCAAAGCGGGCAGGCTTAAAGATGCACGCGATCTGTTTTGATGATATGCCAAGGCAAGGGGTTATTCAAGATGCGCTCACGTACAATACCATGATCTCTGTTGCTTGTGCGCACTCACAGGAGGAGACTGCTCTTAGTTTGCTAAAGGAAATGGAAGAGAAATCATGTAAGCCAAACATCGAGACTTATCATCCATTACTGAAAGATGTGTATCAAAAGAAGAGAATGAAGGTGCTGAACTTTCTGTTGGACCACATGTTCAGAAATGACGTGAGTCTTGATTTGGCAACTTATTCACTTTTGATAGCTGGTATGTGTAAAAGTGGAAAACTTGATCGTGCTTGCTTGTTCTTCGAGGAAATGATCTCACAGGGGCTAGATCCAATGCGCAGTACGTACAATAAATTGTTGGGGGTGCTCCAAGCAAGAGTATGCTAAAAGAAAAGGAACATATTGAGAGTTTGTATCATAGAAGCAAAAATGCATTGTAAATTTGGCTGACCTAGTTTCAGATCCAGCAAATATTTTGCCAGTTATGAATCACTGAGCTCCATTTTTGTTTTTCACTTCTGATTTCATAAAATTTTAATCTCCTTCTCTTAGTAGGCAGCATATGAGCTGCACAGCAAGGCAAAAAAAGAGAGAGACTTGAGCTTCTGGGTATGTAATTTTGGTTGTGATGGATCACTATTGTAGCTCGTAAGCAGTTACCAATAAGGACTTACAGACATCAGGCCCTTGACTTAATAGAGCCAGAATGCCTATTTTGCATCGGTTACTGCATTGCATGCACAGTTCAGACTTTGCTGGGCATCTTGCTGAATGGAAAACCATCAAAGGAAAAAAGATCTGGATGAACCTAGAAAAACGGTATATGGAAAGATCTGGATCAATTATCATTTCTATTGTATTGTTGATGTCTGATGCAGTTTCCTGCAGCACTGTGGAACGAGATCTTAACAAATTATTGGAACTCCATATCACTGTATTTTATATCCCTTTACTAATTCACTGTGAGGAAAGTGAGGAAAATGACATGAATGAAGTAGGCAGTGAATAGTGATAACTACTGAGAATTGTATGGTTTCATAAGAACCAAAACTACATGAAACCAAAATCTGGGTAAGTAATGCGACTTTGAATTGATGCTCAACTTTTCACCCTTCAGAATGAACCCAGAAAACAGTATATGGAAGGAAGATCTGGGTCAACTATGATTTTTTACTGTACTGTTGATGTTGATGTTTGATGCAGTTTCCTACAGCTCTGGTGGAAAGAGATCTTAACCAATTATTGGAAATTTGGAACCTCATCATTGTGTATTTTATATCCCTTTACTACTTAGAGTATGTTTAGTTTCATAAGAACGAAACCTACATGAAACCAAACAAGCATTGAGATGAAAGCTGAAGGTTTGATGTGAGAGTGACGATTGCTTTCAAGTCTTATCTTAATTCCATTATTTGATGAAGACGTGAACTCTCTCCATACATTCCTTCATAGCTCCACAACTGTTTGAAGCTGACGAATGCTAATATGAGCACGTCACAAAATTTTTCCATCAGTCGAGATGGTACATGGATCAGCTTTCTTAACCACAATTTTTTTTCGGGACGAAATGATTTGTAAATGACGATAAAATTAAATAGTCCTGAAAAAAAAAATCAATTTTATATCTGTTAGTAACTTTTATTACTGATGTGGATTTAAGTTCTTTTCGTATCACGGTCCTATATTGAATACCAAAAAGATGAATGTCTTTTTCAACAGAAATAAGTTGCCTTAGTACAAGAGGCTAGCCATTAGCTAATAATAGTAGTTGGGTCCTTTGAATTACACGAAGTTTGATTAATGAGTTACACTGTTCAATAACTCTTAAATAGTGTGACTCGTTAGAGTTTCCATATTACGCACGTGTTATATTGCTTTCGAAGTATTTAAAAACAATATTTATCTCATAGATGAATGAAGTAAAGAATGACAATGATAATGTGGTTGGATTAATAAAAATTTAAATTTAAAAAAAATCTTTTATTTGGATACATGAAAAATTTTGAATTCAAATTAGAATTTATTGGTAATTTCAATTCTCTCTACGCCCTAATCATTTAAAATTTTAATCACTTCAAATATCTTATTATCTTTGTGTTTTTATTATTAATATCTCTATAACTCTTTTGTCTTTTCTCATATTTTATTGATTATAGAAATAAAAATAAATCTATCATTTTAAATTTTCATTGTCATTTTCAATTTTAATTTATCTCTCTTCTTTATTTGAATTTTTTTAAAAATTATCTAAACAAATGATTTTAAATACATGAATTTTAAATGTGATATTTGAAATGTAAAATTTCAAATCTACAATCTAAATTGAAATTTATCAATCCAAACCCTACCTTACTGTCTATGAATCATGGTTCAACTAACTCTACACTACACATGAACTTAAAAGATCTAATGGGTTGGTGCGATTCCTCCTTCATATTTGTTTCCTTTGTCCCCCCTTTTGATAGCTAGGTAGATTGAAGGAGATGAATGTTGTGTGGTAGTGAGTAAATTAAGGAGATATTTTTTGTTATATATATTGCCCACCAAATACAATATTCATGAATTAGAGTGCCTTTATTTTCAGTCAACTTCTTATGTTTGGAAATTCATCAGAAACAGGCTTTTGTAACTTTCATCAGAACACATTAGAGTGAAGTTATTCTTATATTACTATGCTCAAAGCCATGTTTTGATCAAAACTACCATATTTGAGATTTCATTTATAAGGGTTTAGTAAAGGATAATAATTCCTCAGCATATATTCACTTCAAGAATGAAGATTTTCATGGTCTCTGAAACTAAGATATACTTCTCTGGTCCTATTTATAAGTCATTTTTAATATATTTCACTAGTACCAAGAAAACTTTATAACTCATTAATTTCATTTTAAAATTTAATAAGTTTTCAACTTTGCTCTTATTAAATATATATACTTTAATAAATATTTTCTCTTTTCAATATTCAATGGAGGGTAAAATAAGGGAATTTATAGTAAAAATTTAATTACTTGACTTATAAATAGGACAAAAAAAATTTTTTACTTTGTCCTATAAATAAGATCAGAGGGAGTATGGGATAATAAGAAAAGGGGAGGATGGCAATAAAGTCTTGAAATAGTAAATTAATGGCAATTAGGTCTTAGTAAAAAATTTAAAAAATAAGTTATAATATCACTTTAATGGTTACAAACTAAAATTCAAATTATAAACCGATTGTTTATATTTAGAATTTAAATATTTTATTTGCAATCAAATTTTCTAAAGTTGCAATTGTTTAAGTTGATAATTACAATTTATTTTTCAAGAAAACATGTCAAGGACTTAAATATCATTTTTTTTTTGAGAGTTCACGATCATTTTCCCTGAAAAAAATATTGTGACATGAAGTTGAGATATTCTAGAAACTTTTGGGTGAATAATTGTCCTTGGAGAATCAGCAACATGAGGTGGAATTAGAACTAAGCAGTTCATAATTGGTGTCTAGTCTAATATCGAATAGCATGGGGCATATCATTAAATATGACCGTAGACATTTCATACCATATGTCTTAATCTTTTATCAATTATGATTCTTGGAGAGCTCAAAATCTTAAGAGTTATAAGTTGAGATTGAAAATTCTTTGTAGTAAGATTTTTTCATAACTACAGACAAAAAACCCAGTTAAGTTTTTTACAAAATAGTCCATATAATTCAAAATAGGATTTAATAATAAGAACATTATATATAAGTCCCATATATAATATAGGTCTCAACCTCTGATAAATACTAAAGTTTTTAAAATCTGATTGTGCTTTTCCTTTAGATAACACATACTATTACTATGTTTTCATTAGAACCTTGTTAATCATTGGTGAAGTAATTGCATCATAGATGTCTCATGTGCTCAACTTTATATATGGGTACATAAAAGATTTAAAAAAAAAAATTCAGGCGAGTTACTTCTTTGAAACTTATTACAAGAGCAAGTCTTAAGTTTCAAATACAAAAAATTATAACTTACATATCAACAAAGTTCTTAAATCGACAACAAGATTCAAACATATACTCTTATGAGATGTAATGACTTGCATCTCTCTCTACTGACTTACCGCCTCTCTTGGCAACAAAAAACCAGTTACTAGTATGGCACTGAGCTCTTAGTTTATCAATGAAACTGTGTAGTTACAGATATGAATTGATGCAGGAGGATCAATGAAGGTTGGTGGCATGGGGATTAAAGTTGGAGGGGAAGGGAATATTTTGATAGCATTAAGGAGAGAGCACCAAACATGTATGTTTGTTGCTGCTTTATTTGGAAACAGAGGTTTAATGTGATGATGGATGATATAGGAACACGCAAGTAATTGTTTGGTCAGACATAAATGATTGATAAGAATTTTACCATTAGAGAATGCTTGTTTACAATCTTTGTGTGAGCAATTCTTTAGCCACTTTTTCTGTGTTTGACTTGGTATGAAAAATCTGTTGGTAATTATGAGGTTTGAATTAATTCTATTCTTAATTTTGTGCATGTTTAGTTTTATTTATATTAGAGATTTTTAGTCCGGTTTTAGTATTGTTGAGCGTAATTAGATATAGCTTTTTCAATATTTTTTTTCATCCACGGATAAATCAAACCCAGTAACCTATATTTAAGCGACTCTAACTCTTTTTACTAAAATCAAAATTATGATTTTGATAGAAGTATATAATCATATATTTTCACCTAAACAATGGTTTAGATGGTTTTAGCGTGAAACCTAACATATTTTTCATTATTAATTTAGCTATTATCCTATAATTGCTTGAACAACATTGGATAGGTATCACAAATCAAAAACAAAAAGTATTCATGCCTATTAAATGTGGTGCAAAACAACAAAACATTAACATCAATATAACTCGATATAATGTTTCAAATTATAACATTATTTACAAGTTAAATTATTCAAATCATTTCCTATAATAATAATAGTATTATAATAATTATAATTATAATTATTATTATTATTATGTCTGAATTTTGGGACAGAGCCTCCTAGAAGGGCACATGCGCATCATCATGTAATTATGCAGAAATGAAATGTGCTTTGATGAAGATTAGCATGAGCAAAGCGTGCAAAAAATGCATTAATTATATCTAATTTGGTTTCCCAAAATTACACCAACCTGGTCCTGTATGTTTCCCTCTAATTATGACCTTAATAGTACTTTTTAATCATCATAGGCAAAAATTATCACGCAAATTAATTACTTTACTAATTTTTTTCCTATGAAGGAGTAAATATTTTGGTACAAGTACACTTCAAGTCACACACCACATCATCGCTTCAATTCAATCCTTTGTAGTGCTACCCTTTTCATGAATTACCAATTAATTAGCTATTATTTAAAATATAATCCAACAATAGTGGTTTTTTTTATTTTCTTAAATATATTTCAATAATATAAAATATTAGATAATTATTAAATAAAAATACGTAAACTAAACTTAGAAGTATCGATATAAAATCTATAGAAAGTCACGTATTCCATAAGTTATGACCATATATAATATCCACTATCAAATTCATGTGAATTTAAGGCCAGTTTAATTTTGCTTTTAAAAAATGTTTTTAATTTTAAAAATAAAAAATATTCAAGTAAGTGATTTGAAATCAAATGTTGTTTGAAAAATTGTTCTATTTTTTAGTTTTGAAAAAAAATAAAAAATTTCTCTTATTTTTTATTTTGTTTGTGGTCAACAACTTATTTTTTATTTTTTAGAAACACTGCATTTTACTATTATAAATTCTCTTTAGCTATGATTAACAACTATCACGGGCCATCACTATTGGCCATTGGAAACCAACACTATCGATCATTTTTTAATTTTAAAATTATTTTAAATTAACATAATTAGATTTTCATTTTGTTTTTTTAAAATAATTTTCATAAATTTATTTATAAAATATATTTAAAAAATAGAACAAAAGCAAACAAGTCCTTAATTTGTAATGTTTTTGAACTTTCTCTGTATATTTTATTTTGTATAATTTTGATTTTGTTTGTTTATTATTATTTTACATATTTTCATAAAACGTGAAAATTAAAAAGATGAATAAAATGCTGGAGAAGCTTTTGCATTATTTTCACTTCCATAGAAAAAGACACCTAATTTCTACAAACAAAAAAAAAGAAATAAACATTATTTATTGCAAGCTTAAAATGCAGTAAAAACCCACATAGGTGTGGCATAAATAATAATGATTTGGACTCTTTAAGCATCATTCCAAAATTTGATTCATGAATGTGTGTATGGAGAGTATCTCTTATCGATTTCTTG